TTAAGTGTTTATGTAGTTAATAAAACTTTACTTGTATCACGCTTGACGTGTTCATTGTTTGCTCATAACCGGAGTCACTAATCATGCAGATTTACGCTACAAACTTTTGTAGAATTGTACAGTAAGAAAGTTATTTCCCTTAACCAGGAAATTAACGTTCTTAGAATTGACAAGACAGTTGACCCTGAGAGGTCAGCTAAATATCTACAGCGGATCTAAAATATGAATAGTTAATTATAACTAGTTCTGCTTAATTATTCATATTTCACATGAGCTGATTCGTTACAAAAGTTATATTTTTGGCAAATATAAAAGCCTTTCACACCAAAAGTGAAATGAATAAGCCTCAGGCTGAAGGGAAAGTAAATGTACGTCCGTACAGTAGAATGCAGAAGAAGACATTTCAACACACTTCAGCAATAAACAAAGACACACAGATGTTCGTCTAGAGTAATTTGTGCTTATTAGTACGCTTGAACTGGATCATCGAAGGTCAGAAGCAAATAGAATGGGATTAAATACATAAAGCATATTTGTGTTGTTTAACATTTAATTATTGCAGGTTTGCGTCATATTCTGAGTTGCATTATTTTCATTCATTTTGAGGAATACTGAATCTGTGTTTGTGTGAGTGAGATGAATTAATGCATATTCATATTTATTTTAGAACTACAGTAACATCTGATTTCTCTCAACATGGGGACACCAGAGCTGTCAGTCAATAAACTGGGAAAAAGTAACTGATATTCTCTTGTAAATTAAAAAGTAATTTTTTAACTTTACTAGTTACTTGAAAAAAGTAATCTGTAATATATTACCCCCAACACTGTTAATAATGATATTTGTAATGCTGTTTTGTTAGCAGCAAGTCCAAAGAAGGGAGGTAAGAAAAAAAAGAAGATTGTACCATGGTGGACAAAATAATGTGATCAAGCAATTAAATCTCGAAATAAAGCTTTTAAAACGTTAAAAAAAGAATCCTAGTTTTCAGAGTTTTATTGAATATAAAAGGAAGCAAGCAAATGTAAGGAGAGTCATCAAATATACAAAAAAAGAGTTTTGGAGGAAGTTTTGTAACAGTGGGAAGGGAAACAGAAATAGGTCAAGTATGGGGAATGATTAAAAGAGAGTTTGGGTATCCAATTTTAAGGGATGAAGATACAACAGCTGTAAAAGATGAAGAGAAAGCAGAAATGTTGGTGAAAATTTTTGTTAAAATACATAAATCAGACAATATTAGTGAGGAGGGAAAAAGAGGAAGGGAAGGGACGTTGGAGCAGCAGAGCGCGTACACACCTCACGCACCGGAAGCCGTGCGCGCGCTCAAAGACAGTTGGACACAGTGGTGTATTAGAGGTAAAAAATTATATAAATACTGTTGGGTTTCTGGCACAAACCGATCGTTTCGTGTCTTAGGACATCAATGTGTCGGCACGAGCCGCAGGGTTTAATTTGGATTTGTCTGTGCATGTTTTTTTACTCTCATAGATCTTGTTACCATTGCCATGCATTATACGACTGACAGACTGCAACGGCTGGAGTTAAAAATCATAATTTATGTTCTACTGAAGAAACAAAGTCACCTACATCTTGGATGCCCTGCAGGGGGTAAGCAGATAAACGTCAAATTTTCATTTTTGGGTGAACTATCCCTTTAAATTCTCAGTTGACAAAACAAAGATAATGTTTTTTACAAGGAAAAAAATTGGAAGTGAGGTAAAACTAAAATTATATAATCAAGAACTGGAAAGAGTGAAACATTTTAAGCTTTTAGGGATATGGTTTGATGAAAGAGTTACATGGGTGGTGCATATTCAGAATATAGTGAACACATGTAAGAAAGTAATAAATACAATGAGGTGTTCAGTTGGCAGTGAATGGGGGGCAGATAGGACGGCATTAAAGGTCATATACAGTGGATTGGTTAGATCAGTGTTAGATTATGGTTGTGTGGTGTATGGATCAGCAGCAGAAACATCTCTTAGAAAGTTAGATAATATACAGCATCAGGTATTGAGATTATGTACAAAGCTATATAAACTACACCAATTACAGCACTACAGGTTGAAATGGGGGAAATGTCATTAGAAATTAGAAGGGTACAGTTATCAGTGAATTATTGAGTTAAGGCCATAGTCAAGAGCATCCAACACTAGATACTTTAAAGCCCTGTTGGGAAAAAGAGAGGAGGAAAATTAAAAGTTTTGGATGGACCGTGATACAGAAAGCAACAGGACTTGAAGTTAATCAGTTAAATGCTAGTCCAACTGTACCACTACCTGTAATAAAACCTTGGTTACTTTCAGATGCTACCATAGATTTTACATGGTTAGAACAGAAAAATAAGGGTAAGGAATGTAATTTATATAATGTGCAGACATGCACAACAGCTATGTTCAGATCTACACAGATGCATCAGAGTTTAGACAATAAGGTAGGAGTAGCGTTTACTGTTCCAGAATTTCATTTATCATCAGTGATGAGTTATCAGTTTATACACATGGGGAAATGATTGCACTATTATTAGCAATACGGTGATAGTAGAGTTAAGACCTTTGAAATCAGTGATTTGCTCAGATTCATGTTCATCACTGGCAGTGTTGGGGAAAGTTACTTTTAAAAGTAATGCGTTACAATGT